TTTAGGCTACTCAGCCAGTTAGCTGTAAAGTGGCTATAATATCAATGAATTTATGCTTACTGTGATCTTTACTCACACTTTCCTCATACAGCAGTAGTAGGAATAAAAAAAAACCTGTAGACCTATCCTTACTTGATTGTAGTAGCCTACCCCAGTACCAACAAATAAGTAATAAGTAATATTTGGGTATTTAATTCTACAATAATATTATGTACTTCTAACTTAAATAATTCTCATCATACGTTACCTATTCTCGTCCTTATTTTTCTGTAATTCCCGCCAACGATGTAAACTTTCACTCCCCTTGTTCTTCAACCTTCTGGCACTTAAATTAAGTTTTTTATTTTTTCTTGTCCTAGGATTGGGCATCTTGAAGCACACGAGAAATGACAATAAAGACCAAAACACTCAAAACACGGTGAAAATCACTGCAAGTGTGCAAGCGAGTGAGAAACACGTGGTCGTGGTAGTCGCCTAGGTAGTCGCCTCAGTTGTCATCTTCCCGCGCGCGCGCATGCGCAGACGGCTCTGCGCCATGGTTTTGGGGATGGGGAGGGGATTTTGAGGTTGTAGCCTAGTAGAGCAGTATAAGGCCTTAGCCACTTAAAACCCCTCGGTGCAGAGTAATTTAGTATATTGAAGCGCTGTTGTATGCCTACGGTCAGGAAGAAAATTGAAAAAAGTGTTGTTAAAAATTACCATGTTATTCTTATGGAGAAAATTATAACCGTTTTAATTTACTTGTTTATGGATACACTGTATGTTGATAAAATTTGGCAAATTCATTAATTTCAGTATACTGACGTATGGTCAAGAAACACTTTTTACCTTCCCCGTAGCAGCACACCTAAGCACTCGTTAAATCTAATGTTATTTAAATAGGAATAAGTTTGTCTTATTTCTGGAAGTATTTTAGTAAAAATACTTTAATCATACAAGTTGAAATTTGCTTTGTGAATAGTTTTGCTGCGACAGGGTATTTTATTTGTAGACCCGAGTTATGACTTGTAGTGGTTTTTAACTTGAAGTTGAATGGCTGAGTGGTCAATAGTCTAGCTAGAACATTTGAGGTATCATTCAATTCAAGTCCCCAACTTGGAGGGGTTAATTACAAAAATTTAAAAATGCTGTTTTAATAAAACAGTACTATTGAGTACTGGTTTTCTAAAAAAAACTCTTTATTATGGTTGTTATTAGAGCAATCTCATACCCGACGTTAATAAACAAACTTATATTTTGGTAAAGTATTAAAGCTGAATCTGTGCAAGCAAGTTGCGTTGGCTGAGTATAACTGTTTACAAAGAGGACAGTATACTCATCTATTTACTTATTAATTACGCAAGCAGGTTTTTTGTGACAATTAATCCGAGCAGCAGGGACACTAGTATGCGTAAAAACGGCGACGACGCAAAGATAGAATAGAATCAACCGAGAGGAGGGGAAATATCGATCGATGGCTGTGGTGGGAGAGCCGACGACAGGTTGAGCCGTTGGCCGCATGGCCGCGCCACTGCACGGCGCCTTGAAGAGCGCTTGCAAGCCTTTCGAGTCTGCGTGATTACATAGTTAGCATTCAACTTTTTAGTAAACTAATTCCAGATTCTTGTTTTTAAGAATCTATTGCACGTCTCCCGTTTTTTATTTTTTCTCTAAAAATTTTTTTTATGTATCAAAACTCATGATAAAGAACGCCTCTTTTTACATTTTTCACCAACCTTTGAGCCCAAAATTTTTTAAATTATCAAAATTTTAAAAAACGGGAAACCTACAATAACATTTGACGGAAAATATGACACCAAGATCTTTTAAATCGGTTCACAATTGGGGCTACAATCAGGAAGAACTAAAACCCTTACATTTGCGCGCGCCAGACGGGTAGAGCGCACCCTTAATGTTTCACCCCACACTGTAAATAAAACATGTGATTGGAGTTTCTTCCATTTGTTTTGATTTTCTGTTTATATTTTGTTGTTATTTCGTCACCAGCATGGCAACGCATAAGATCCATGTAATTTTTTTCAAATTTTTAAACTCATTTTTTGCGCTTATCTTTGAGCCTATTTAAATTTATAAAGGGATTCTGCACACCTACAGGAAAATAGCTTTCTAACGGTATGCGTAGATTTTCCCTACGATGCACACGAGCTGAGAAAAAAGGTTTTAAAGAAACATGCTTGCCTATTAATATATAGATAGATATTTAGTTTCAAGTGCATCAATATATTACCTTATTAAAGTTCAGATCTTTCTGAAGAGATTGGTTTTTATTTTAATGTTCTAGGATTAGTAGAACCACAGATATTTAATTTTACGTAGAGCTTTGAAATCGCTGAAAACGGCCGTTCAAGTAACAAAAAATGGCCGCCATACAGTAGAAAAATAAAATAAAAATAAAATAATTGTATTTTTGTACTTCTAATAGTATATACTTTGAAGGATAAAAATAAAAAAATAAATTAAAAATCTTGAAGCCACCTCTGGACCACTTGAAATGGATTTACCCGGTGATCTTAGGTCCCTCGTTGTCTTGTTGATTCTGCAGTCCATCCAGACTACGGTCTCCACTCTGTAGACGGAATTCAAAGCGACACCGGTTCGGGTTAACGAGTGATGTTTGTCCTCGATTACTGGTCAATAGATATTGTCGTAGTTCGATCGGCACATAGTCTAAATTAATTTCTTGGTACTATATACAGTAAAGTAGAAACTCAATTGTTTGACACTTTGTGGAGTTAAGGGGTGTCAAACTATTGAAATGTCGAACTATAGGGAGTAAATGGAGTTTAATATACAGGAAAGGAAAAACACAAGTTTTAGGCCAACCACCCAAATTTATTAAATACTAAAAAGCTTAACAATTTCACTGTTCTTTAGGGGTGGGTGAGTACTCAACCTTCGAGTAATTACTCAAGTTTTTTTAAATACTCGACCTCGAGTCGAGTAGTAATTACTACTCGAAAATTTCGAGTCGAGTAGTTATAAATAGTGCCAATGCACGATTTTCTACATCCATATTTAATAAATTATATTTTGTTTTGAATTTGAGACGCAGGCCCCGTAACGTATTGAGATTGGGCACGGGTCGTTGCACACGCGCCTTGGCACACCTACAATCATTTTAACGACACGTCAGTAGAAACAGTTACTCAGTCTCGTAGAACATACGACACCAGCCGAAGTTACTCGTCATAGCTCGGTAAGTGGTACATGGGAGGGTGTTACAACACACGGAGTCGAAAAATGTACGTGTCTTCACCAAGCAAGCTGTCCTCCGACTACTATATAACACACCCTGAACTTACACGTGGTTCCTCCGTATGAGCTCTCCCATTGGCTGCCAAATGCATCCTCATCTCCCAAAGACTCCCCACGACTTATTTACATCACCGCATTAGCGCCAGGCCCGTAAGCAGGTCCCAACAGGAAAATTTGTACTGTATGTACTCTTCAATTCAATTCAGTTAGTTTATTCACGGCAGAAGCCATTGTGCAATAATACCATTACATACCGGAGATAACAAGCAATAATAAATACTAAATAATACAGGGAGCGGCAGAAATATCTGACGGTTTTCAAGCGAGTACAGTCCGGCAGCCGAGTGGAGGAGGGTGGTGGGAAGCGGCTCATTCTCAAGGCCAAGTGACCTCATTTTAGTCGCCATGGAGCAGTGGACCGGTATACATCGCGCGTTTGTCGTTGAGGCGTATTTTAAAAATGGTGATTCTGTTGTTGATATGCAACGTAAGTTTCGAAGGCATTTTAATGTGGCTCGTGGGGAACCTATCCCATCCCAAAACACCATCAAATTGTGGGTGGATACCTTTAGAACCACAGGATCAACTGCGAAACGTAGGCCTACAGGCCGTTCAAGGTCAGTGAGGACGCCGGAGAACGTGGAGCGAGTGCGACAAGCTGTGCTAACGAGCCCGCATCGCCCGGCGCGTAGACAAGCTGCTGCTCTTGGCATGTCTGAGCGCTCTATTCGACGAATTTTGCACTCAGACCTTCACTTTCACCCATATAAAATAGCAATCGTCCAAAAACTGCAGCAAAATTCGTCGAATAGAGCGCTCAGACATGCCAAGAGCAGCAGCTTGTCTACGCGCCGGGTGATGCGGGCTCGTTAGCATAGCTTGTCGTACTCGCTCCACGTTCTCCGGCGTCCTCACTGACCTTGGACGGCCTGTAGGCCTACGTTTCGCAGTTGATCCTGTGGTTCTAAAGGTATCCACCCACAATTTAATGGTGTTTCGGGATGGGATAGGTTCCCCACGAGCCACATTAAAATGCCTACGAAACTTACGTTGCATATCAACAACAGAATCACCATTTTTAAAATACGCCTCAACGACAAACGTGCGATGTATACCGGTCCACTGCTCCATGGCGACTAAAATGGGGTCACTTGGCCTTGAGAATGAGCCGCTTCCCACCACCCTCCTCCACTCGGCTGCCGGACTGTACTCGCTTGAAAACCGTCAGATATTTCTGCCGCTCCCTGTACAATAGGTGAACACAAGATGCACAAGAATAGTAATACTACTAAATAGAACGTACAAAAATAAGTAACAGGTGGACTCTGAACAAAAGAAGCTAGCATTACAAGAAGATATGCAAGAGGATATACAGGTAACAAGCAAAAGGCGTATTAATAATACTGAAAGAGAAGCAATATGCATACAAATCATAATAGCAAGACATGTAATAATATTAATAAACAGTGTCATACAATAGTGAGTAAAAATCAGATTTTGAACAAAAAAAAAAGAAAAGAAAGATGCTAGCATTGCAAGAAAAAGTCATGATAAAAAAAGTCATGAAAAGTCATGAGTGTTCTCTTACCTGCAGTTTGTCACGTAGGCCAAGTATTTGAATCTATTTATTTTTATATTAAATATTATGAAATTACCCGTCACAGAATCTGCAACTTGTCAAGGCCTTGGTCACGCACTACAAGGATGCGAGAGGCTGAATGATGATGGTTGGGTTGTAATCTTACCTCTTGGAGCTACAGAAGCACAAGCTTGTAGCATCTGGGACTTGCCAAGGCCTGGGTCGCCCACTACGAGGATATGAGAGTCTGAGCGACCGTGGTTGGTTTGTGATCCTCCCAGCAGTCCAAGTAGAAGCCCTGCCTTGACCATTTCATGGCCATAAATGGATGGACATAGAGAGTTCACTAGCAGTCTGAACAATGATGGCTCACCGTGTATTTCCTGTTTAAAAAGTAACTTTTTAAAATATTTTGTCACGATCATACTAATATTTTGAGATGTGCCATGTCAACTACTTTTTGTCAAACCTCTCCAACTCTATTTAACCTTGGGGATCCGCCACCACTAAAATGGGTTTTTTATTTTTTACAATTTTTCAAAAATTATTTTTTTTTTTATTATTTATACTTTTGACAATATTCCTGTTAATATTCATATGCATATCTGACCATATTTACTATTAATGCCTTGACCACAAAACAAAAATGATAAATTTCCCGATTTTTTAAAATTTTTTATCATCAATGTATTCTCTAATAAAGTATAAAATTATATTGTATTTTATAAAAGTGATTTTATCACATACATAAAAAACACTTAACATTTTAGTGTATGCTATAATGCACCTAAGCTATATGAAAATAATATGTAACCAGCTGTTCACGGACTTTGGACACGATTTACCAAAAGTCGTGTTTTTTATAACATTTTGTTAAATAAATTAAAAAGTATTTGAGCTAGCCTATTTAACCCCAGGACTGCCCTGACCTGATATATGCTAAAATGCTCAGTGCTCATAGTTACTATAATCCGACCATAATTACTATTAATACAATGACCACAAACAAAATGATAATTTTCAAGATTTTTAGTATTATTTAGAAAAACATCTATATATTCTCTAATAAATTATGGAATGATTTTTATTCATGTTTATTCAAGTCGTGTTTTTGAACAAGTGTTACTGTGTAAAATTGCTGTAATTTTTGTAACTATTGTGTTACCATGGTTATTATCAAGGCCCCACTAGAAAAACAAGGCCATGCTGCAGGATTCATGACGGCACACTAGTGGATGGATTTCATTGATAAATTCATTGCCATCACCACTCCCATATGTTTTAGGTAAATAAACAAGCTGGCCGTTTGTAAGATTTTAATGGTAAGATTTTAGTACAACTATCCACCGTTGCGCTGCCCCTGCTGCAGCATGGCCTGTTTTTTCTAGTGGGGCCTTGTTATTATACCATTAAAGCACTAGGTTGTAAGGAACGTGAAAATGTTTACTTTTTTCATATATATTAATAAATAAAAAAGTTATTTAAGCTTTTCCCCCCCTCACTCCAAAATTTATATATGTATATATATATATACTAGACAATCAAGTTTAACAATTTCCCAATTCCTAGTCACCCAACCTGTATAAACAGCCTCAGTATCAAAGGTCAACCCCAACGTTATCTCTGAAGTTAGTTCCGTGTTAGCCACTGAAGAAGACACATGGGGTACCCCACTACACTACAAGTTCAGTATACAAATTAAATCAACCAAAAAGGTATTTATTATACTTTTACTTTCACTTTTTGGGCGGTTCCCATTATTCTATCCAACATTTGGTCCTTCGAACCCTGATAATCAATCCAGTACCTAATTGGCTAGGGCCATCCCCATCAAACTTTTGGCACCAGAGAGGAAGGCAATATATCAGCGGTGTGGAGAGGACGAGGCAAGAAGCAAGGAGCGTGCCCGCACCTACCGGCTCTAGCAGGAGAGCTGGGAACAGGAGAAACGAGGACGGTGGACCAGGATACTGATTCCGCATGTCCAACCTTGGGTAAATCGGCTGCAAGGCGTGGTGGATTTTTACCTCACCCAATTTCTGACAAGTCATGGATTTTTCCGGTCGTACCTGTTCAGGATGGGCAAAGCTGTGTTACCCGATTATATCTACTGCCCAGACACTCCCGACAACGTGGAACACACTTTTTTCAGCTTTCGGAGGGTGAGGACAATTGGACCTGTATCTGCGTGTCACATTTTGTCCAGGGTATTCTCCGCGCCAAGAAGATTGACCTTGATCAAGATGCAGTCTAGGGTATAAAATAACAGAATGCCAGAAACAGTGGGAGCACTAGGGCTTAGGTGTTGGCCTGACTTTCATGAAATGTGACAAACAATCCCAGGTCTGTGTCCAACAGAGTAGAGGGTTTTTTTAGTGAGTAGTCTGATATTCTCAGGAGTCTCACACTACAGGTCGGCCACCTGTGTGTGTAAATGCATTTTCCACCTCTCGCTAAAAAAAAATAAATAAATAAAACTACCTGTAAACCCAAGTATACCAACGTTTGAAAAGTATGCAGGAAAAAAGATAAACCTTATATTGTATGACTCAAATAGTCTATAGTTGGCTTAATTTATAATAATAGAATACTTATGGGTGACTAAAACTATGATTTTATATGTAAGGTACGACAAATGTATCTCTATAAAAAAAACTACAAATACTTTGAATCAATGGTGCCACACTCAATTTACATAAAAGCAAAAATGATCAGGGATTTTGGTTTTGCCAGAACCCAGGTAGTGTTAGTAGGTAGTTCGCGGGTAGTGATAGTATTACAATAAATCTAAAAGCCTTCTGTTGCTGAGGGGAAATTTCATCCCAAACTGCTAAACTACATTACTACAGTTTAGTTAAGTCAAGTAGTTGCAAATGCATACCTGTATGGCATAATAATCCTTGATGTTAAACTCAATACCAGACATTCGGCCACTGCCAGTGCTGGCCTTACTGCTGACTATAGACACTCCCAGGATATACAACACAAACATGCTTGCTGACTTGCTTTTCTTGCCTTCCTCGGTAGATCTCACCTGTAACAGATAAAAATGATAACTGCCAAAAACACCAACCGTTCAAATTAATTATTTTCAATTTATTTATTCATTGAGAAGTATACATAATACAGCATTTGAATAGTGTCAAAGATTGCAATTATTAAAATATAAAATACAGATTAAAAAATAAATTATAAATAAAAAAATAAATCTCCCATACATTGATAAAAATTGCCTTCTTAATGTATTCTTAATATTCTTGAGGGAGGTGGAAAATTTCTTCTTAAGAATAAATGACCATGTTTATTAAGACATTTTTTAGTTTTTTTTTAAACCTTTTTGGATCTTTTTCATTTCTAATTCCTCCAAGGATATGTTTTTTTTTTTTAACTTTTACCAGCAAATGATGGTTTTTTTCATAAAACTTTAGTCTGTGCCTATTTTTTCCCTCGTTTCATATTGGTGAACCGGTTGACCAGATACATCGGATGAGGTTTTATTAAAAAAAATTAAAATTGAATCAAAAATATATTGCCTACAAACAGTTAGTATGTTTAGCTGTGCTCTTTTGCCGAGACATCAGAATTTAGTCTGAGCATTACTCTCAATGATCTTTTTTGATGTTTTAATATTTTATCTAGATTGATTTGAGTTGTTGCTCCAAATATACAGATACCAAAGGAAATATGTGAATGAATATATGCAAAATAAATGTTTTTCAAAGTTTTGACATCACAGTACAGAGACATTTTTGAAAGGGCAACAATTCCAGAGTTGATTTTGAAAACTATTTTTTTTATACGCTCATTTCAGTTCAAATTCTGATATATTGTTAGATCCAAAAAGTTTGTGCTGGTCTTTTGCTCGATACGTTATGAGTCATACATTATTATTGGGTGATTAGCATTTTTAATTTGTGGTGTTTTGAATGTGATAAAATTTGTTTTTTTGTTATTTAATTTTAGGTTCTGGTACACCAGATAACTGCCCAAATTTCGAAGTTCTAGGAAAGCAGAGATGTCTGTTTGTTCCAGTGTAAGAGAGGAAATCAATAAATTAGCTTCATCAGCATACAGGCACAATTCACTTCTAGGTTTACATACTAGGGCACTGCTTAGTTCTTATGTCCTTTAAATAGCATAAAAATAGCAATTGCCCTAGAATAGACCCTCAAGGTACTCCATATTTTATTGTTTTGATTTCTGAGGCAGTTTGAATAGTTTTACTATTTTTTAATTGAGTAATTTCAACATATTGTGTTCTACTACTCGGATGGAAATTAAACCTTTGCAATGCATTTTTAGTTATTCCAAGAAATTTCAATTTATTCTACAATATTGGATGTTTTACACTATCAAAAGCTTTAGAGAAATCCACGAATATGCCAATTGTTGTTTCACCTCTATCAACCGATTCAATAACTGACTCTAAAAATGATACTGTAGCAGTGACAACCGACCTTCCAGCCCTAAAACCATGCTGGTAATCATCAAGTAAGTTAAACTTTTCAAGATAATCACTCAACTGATTGTAAAAATTTTTTTCATAAATTTTGGAAACAGTTGGAAGAAGAGAAATGGGCCTGTCGTTTATTACAACTGTCATGATAAGAATAAGAATAAGAATATCTTTATTGTCATTAAATACAAACAAAAGTACAATAGACAACGTCAAAATAAATACAAACTTTCTATGGATTAGGTGTGTTGAAAGAAAATAAGTTACAGCAGGAATTGAAAAGGGAAAAAAACAATGAACTATATATTAGGTATTTGGTATTCTAAAAATTCTTTTACTGAAATAAAACTTCTGTCAAGAAGCCAAACAGCCAATTTATTTTTAAATTTATTAAAGCTAAGCTCTTGAAACGATACAGGTAGCTTATTAAAGAGCTGTACTTGGAGGAATTTGTGGCTATTAGTTGATTTTGATAATCTTACTATCGGAATATCTAGGTGGTTACTTGTTCTAGTATTATAACTGTGAAATTCATTACGTTTTGGGAATGATGAAAGATTTTTCTTTAACAAATAACAAATTTTGAAAAATAAATACAGGGTGTTTTTTTAAGTGTGCCACCATTGGGATCTCAGTAACTAATGATTTTACAGCAAACTTTAAATGGGGAACATTCCCTTGTTTTTAAAGAGGTTCAAAAATAATTAAATGAAATTTTTGTAAATGGCCGCCATTTTCCAATATGGCAGTCAACTTTGAAATTTCTTGTGGAACACCCTATATTTTATCATGTTTTCGGATAGAACATGCAATTTAAAAACTTTTTTATTCTTGAAATTTTTCCGATAAACCCACTCGTTTAGGAGTTACAGCCTATGGAAAAATGACTTCTGTTGTACATTTTACATCATGTAGCTCCTAAACAAGTAGGTTTATAGCGAAAATGCGAAGAGTAAATAAGTCAAATAGTCTTAATATTGCATCCACATTCCATAAAGACCATAAAATACACAGTTTTCCACCTTTCAAGTTTGCTACCATTTTGGAAAATGGCCGCCATTTTTGAAATAATAGAATTAATATTTTTAACGAATTTTATGATCTTTTTGGAATGTGGATGCAATTGTAAGACTTATTTACTCTTCGCATTTTCGCTATTAACCTACTTGTTTAGGAGCTACGTGACACGACCGCCTTTAACTCTAGGCCGCGGCCTTCGAAGTGGCAACGTCGCAAGTGGTGTTGTAACATCTGTTTTGTTTGGAAGCAGCTAATGGTATTTGTGTATTTACGAAAGATTGGTTACTGGACTATGACAATATTGACTCCGCTTAAAATGTACAGATATAGAATTTTAATTCGTATTGTTTCGGTTTTCAATTCTGTATGTTTTATTTTCAATATTTTAATAAATTTATGTTCATAAATTTAAATTTAAATCAATAAAGTGCGAATTAATGAGCTGATGTCACCTCTCTGCCATGTTATCTTATGGGCCGTTTGTCACTAAACAACACCACTTGCGACGTTGCCAATTCTACTAGGCCGCGGCCTGTAGTTAGAGGTGGCCGTGTACGTGATGTAAAACGTACAAGGGAAGTAATTTTTTCATAGACTGTAACTCCTAAACAAGTGGGTTTATCGAAAAAATGTCAATAATAAAATGTTTTTAAATTGCATGTTCTATCAAAAATATATGGGATATTCCATAAGAAATATCAAAGTTGACCGCCATATTGGAAAATGGCGGCCATTTACAAAAATTTCATTTAATTATTTTTGAACCTCTTTAAAAACAAGGAAATGTTCCCCTTTTAAAGTTTGCTGTAAAATCATTAGTTACTGAGATCCCAATGGTGGCACACTTAAAAAAACACCCTGTATACACGGTACAGTCATTATTCTGTGTTTGCTAAAAAAAGGTTTGCTGGTCGTTCTGTGTGGTATTTCAAAAATTATTCTCAGTGCTTTTTTCTGCCATGAGAAAACCTTTCTGGCTCCAGCGCTATTACCCCACAGAATGTTTCCATACAGAAGATGAGAGTGGAAGAAACTATAATAAGCAGTAATGAGCATACTATCCGAGACGCAACTCTTAAGTCTTCTCAACAAAAAGCAGACTCGGGAGATCTTAGACACAACATGCGTAGTGTGGCGTTGCCAGGTAAGCTTTGCATCCAAATGTATGCCTAAAAGTTTCACTGTTGACGGAATATTTGAACCTTCTAAGTGTTTTAGCGAAAAGCAAATCCGCTCAGTTTTATCATGATTTAAGGTAAGAGAGTTTGCATTAAACCAATTAGAAGATAAAGTAATTGCGTTGTTGACTGTGGCTTCAGACTCAGTAAAACTACAACTTGAGGAAAAGAAAGTGGTATCATCGGCATATAAGAGTGATCGGCAAGATAGGTTACTAGGTAAGACGTTAATCATTAACAGAAACAGAATAGGCCCTAACACTGACCCTTGAGGGACTCCCGCTAGAATTTCCTCAAACTCAGATGAGTCCTGCCCAACAACCACTGGTTGGAATCTGCCACATAGATAAGTATTGAAGAAATTTAGCTCATTTTTTGGACTTCATAAAATTTTAATTTATGCAAAATAATTTGGTGTGACGTACTATCGAAAGCTTTACTGAGATCCATTAAAGCTACGTTATGATATTTGTTGTCTTCAAAAGATTTCAATACCTCAGAAATCAATTTGTCAACTGCCTTTATTGTTGAAAAACCAGGTCTGAAACCGAATTGAGCTGGGCTCAGAATTTCGTGCTTATCAAGATGACTGTAGAGTTGAGATTTCACATGATGTTCAATTACCTTTGAAAAGATTGGAATTATAGAAATTGGTCAAAAATTATCAATAACTGTTCTGTCTCCCTTTTTATGAATTGGGTGTGTTTTGGAAAATTTTAGGCTATGGGTACCTGAAAAAATAGACAAGTTTATGAGATAGACTAATGGTTCTAAAATGAAAGGGATGATTTCCTTTACGACATTATTTGACAAACCAAATATATCTTCGGATTGGGAGGTTTTTAATAATCTTACTATTGATAGCAATGGCCGGTTATCTATTGGCTGAAGGTGGAACTCTTTGGTCACCGGCTTTACTTTTTGAAGAAAGTTGACAAAGTCACTATTGCAATTGGATGAATTAACTTTTTCGGCCACCCTTCTACCGATCTTAATAAAGTGATCATTAAACTCTTGAGCTGAAATTGGGGACTCGAGCTTCTGTGTTTTGTTAATGTTGGATTCCAATTTTATGAGCCGCCAAGCGGCAGCACATTTATTTGGCGCATTACTGACAAAACTGTTGTTGTATTTGATTTTAGCCTTAATGATAGCTGACCTGTATTGTTTCTTAAAATTAAGATACAATGCTTTCAACTTATTGTTTCTATACTTGGGTATTTTTAACAAGTCATTTAATAAAATTACAATGTTTCTCTGTTCTTTCAGACTGCTATCAAACCACGGCTTTGAGACTCTTTGACTTACCGGTACACATTTTTTTGTTATTCTAGGGCAATAAAAATTATACAATAAAAGGAGTTTATCCAGAAATAATTT